ATAGAACTGTATTTTTTTATGATACCCTTATAAATATTGAATAAGCACTAGATATTAATATATATATATATATATATATTGGATTTGTCTTTTGAACTCTAATCGTTAATATATCTTCTTTTAATGAACATTAGTGCTTTTGTAAAATTATAACTTATAAATATTATATAAGCACTAGATATTAATATATATATATATATATATATATTGGATTTGTCTTTTGAACTCTAATCCTTAATATATCTTCTTTTAATGAACATTAGTGCTTTTGTAAAATTATAACTTATCAATATTATATAGGTATTATATATTTATCATATATTTTAATTCCATCTGTATAATCAATAATTTTTCTCTTTTCTTTTCTTGAGATTGAAATAAAAATTGAATTATGAAATGAAAATTAACCTTTAATAAAGTTTTTTAACTAAATAATTAATTAGTATTAGACTTTGTTAAAGAAAATAGAGAAAAATATAGAAAATTTTTATTTTAATTTTAACTTTTTAGAAGTTGGGTCCATCCGACCCATTCCGAGACCTATGTGATTGGGTTATGGGTCTCCCTCTTTAACTTAACACCGAAATGACTCAATTTGAAAATTTTGAGATCCAAGATGACTCAATCCAACTTGCTTGCCAGGTCTAATTACGGGTTTGTTTAAAGATGCAATTATTATATCTTTAAAATTAAATAATATTAAAAAATATATAAAAATTATCATTAATTTCAACACCACTCCACATGAATCATTTTAATTGTACAATAGTTTAAATAAAAGTCAACTTTTATTTTTTAAATAATAATTAGAATCAAAAAATGAAATAATTACATGTTAGAAAAACTCTTGTATTATTTATAGATTGTGCAAGAATTTTTTTTTTTTTTTGTACATCTGATTATGAGCTATACAAGAGGAAATTGTCCTCTCATATTTTCAAATCCTTTCTTATCTAATTTAAGGTTTGAACTTGATATTTCTAACATGAAGTCTCAAGTTTTTAACCTTTGACCCACACATTAGGGTTTATGCTGTGCAAGATTACATAGAAGGATTGTACGCCAATTTTCAACAATTTCCTATGGGTCTGGAGCTATGATATTCAATTTACATTATACAGCATTAACCATGATGATTGTTGCTGGTTAGCTGCTCTTGACTTGTATTACCTTGCTTATTTCCTTTGATTTGCTTTCCTTTTTTATTTTGAGCTTTCTCCTCTGCTGCATCCATATTTCTTCAACAATGGAAGAACTTTCACTTGTGAATCATGATGCAGGTTACACTGTCCTTCACACCGTTTTATTATGGACTCAAAGACACGACAGCTGCTTATGCTATCAACCTAATCCACTTAATTCCCATCATCACCTTCCTCCTCTACATCATTTTCGGGTAATCATTGCTTCAAAACTCTTTCCTCTTAGATGGATATACCATTCATCATCTCGGTGTCTTGCTGTATAAGAGTGTAAGGCTTTTGAATCCAATACCTCTAAAAAAATGTTCAAAAGATAAGGGATTTTTATTTGGTCTTGTAAAGGAATTGGGACTGGGAAGCATGGTAGGCAAGGCAAAGATGGTAGGTGTTTTCTTTTGTGCGGGAGGAGCCTTGACTACTGCTCTTTGCAAGGGAACAACATTCAAGTTCCACGTGCACCTTTTATGTATTACAAGCAAGCCTGATTGGACAAGAGGAATGCTGTTGCTCATAGGTAGCTGCTTCATCTTTGGTGGACTGCTTCGTCATGAACCACCTTACATAACATGAGTTTAAATTGTGTGCAACTTCATCTATTGTATAAGAAATCATGGACTATGGTGAACTATAACGATAAAGTGCATCATAGCATCCGCGCAGTCCACCATGGCAGGTTTATTCATAGACAGTCGCGTGGCTGTATGGAGATTGGGCTGGAATCTGGAACTTTTTACCATTTTTTACTATGTAAGTATTGATATTACACGATATAAGATGCAAAAAATTGAATGTTTCACTTGTTATCTCAAATGTATGTCTGCAGGGGGCAATAGCTACAGGGGCAACATTCTGCTTACTTTTATGTGCAGATTCAAAGGGAGGCCGGATTTATACTCGTATGTTGAATCCCCTGGGCCTGATTTTTGTGGTGGTATTAGAGGCACTCGTGCTGAGAACAGAGATTTTATCTTGGAACGTAAGTATGATCTATGATTAGTTTTAAAATTATAATTAATGTTTACAAATCCTCGAAAAATCATTCAATTTTTTTTTATAAGCCCGAAAATTCATTCAATGTTAATGGTTTTGGTATAATTTCAGAATACTTGGAATGGTCTTGATAATACTGCGATAGTGCGATCCTACTTCTATATGTTGGGTAAAATCATGGAGGTGAAGATAAAGCGCTTGCCTTTGACAAACGTGGTAGCTCACAAACAAGCAAAAGTTGTTTCTGAACCCATAGAGATGGAGTCTTCAGCTTCCGCCACAGCAGTACCGGACACTTTATGTGTTAAGCAACCGCAACCTGGACAATCCAAAGTCATTATAGGCTAGTTTTAGTTTGCTTAAAAATGTTGAACATCTATAATTTCTTTGCTTTCTTTTGTGTTGTTGAGAACCCAAGAGCAGATGTCATATGAGCTCTTTGACTTAATTTGAATATATGACAATGAAACCATATCTTCAATGATTTGATGAACCTTAGGCTAAAATAGATTGAATTGAATTGTCCTATTGCTGTATGTACATGTCGCGTACAGATACAACGCACCATTGCAGTTCTCCTAGAATTCCTAATGACTACAGGAAATGGATCCCTAGCCACGGTGGGAAACATCTTTGACAAACCTCCGGAGAGTAGGGAGCAATGTAACAGTAAACCAACTCTTCCATCCCATTCCAATGATGGAATCTGGCAACAAGGATCATCTCTAGAATGGACTCCTTGGCATCTAAAAATGGGTCCTTTGACTCTGACTAATTTACTCACTGCACAAGCATCATTAGAGAAAGCATATGAAAAGCTAATTCCATTATTTCTCCTCCTTTAGGTCATGTTTTGTGGTTCCTTACAAACTACCATGGCAGCTGAAAAACAGAGCAGCCCTGTTGAAAATGCTCTCCAGATGGTGAATATTTAGATGCGGAATGTTTGTAGCCGCCAGTGACAGAAAGAAGTTGTGGTTAACATTTTGGCTTTTGTGGCCATAAAACTTGCGGGGGTAGGCTGCTCTGTATTAATGTTGTTGTGAAAGTGGTTGAGAGAGCTTAGAACACGCCAGAGTCCCCTCCATGGCAATCTCTCCATTTTTTTCTTTTCTTTTTTGAATGGAACAGTTTTTTTTACATGATTTTAGAGTCAACATTTATTCTTAGATAGTACATGGATTTAACTATATATATATATATATGCTGGTGTGTATTATTCTTAATTTTTAAAAAAAATTAAAGTTTTAACTTATATTTAAAAATTAAAATTTTAATTTAAAATTTAAAAATTAACCCTATTAAATGTTAATATCTAAATTTAGAGTTTGTAAAATTTAAATATTAATATTTAATGAAATAAATTTTTAAATTTTAAATTAAGTTTTAATAAAATAAAATAAAATAATTTAAAATTGAAATTCTAATTTATTTTAAAAATTAAGATTGATATATATTTTTCACAATATATATATGTATTTATTGATCAAGTGGATTTGATAATATTATTATTGGTTGTAAACAAAATTATATTGGACAAAAAATACATGATACAGCTCTTGGGCCTCCAAGTTTAAAAAGACAGAACAGTCAACAGAGAAATGCGAGTACCTCTTTCCCACAGGCTTTGACCCAAATGAATTCGGCCCAAGGCCTTGTAAGTTTCTAAGATTTGGACTTTTGAAAAAGAATGAGGGTGCTAGATTATTGCCACTATTAATTTCTAATTGTCATTATTAATTTTGTTAATATTATTAAAATTGTTAAAAATAACTAATAATTAACAAAATAATTAATATTTATTATTTAACCTATTAAATTCAATTTATAAATAAATATTTTTAAATATTATAACTAATTATTTAAAAAAATTATAAATTGATAAAATTATAAGTAAAATTAGTAATTTTAACAAAATTAATAGTGGTTATAACCTCACCCATCAGGTACACCTCAACCTAACTAGTAGAAGTGGTAAAAGAGCTTAAGCCATAGAATCAATATGGAACAGGACTCAGGCAGATAAAAAAAAAAAAAAAAAGTTTTCATCTAATAATTGGTTTTTTTTTTTTTTTTACAAATCACTCAGTATTCGGAAATCCACTGGACCACCGATTAATCCAGATTCGAACTAGACAGAACTCAATGGACAGCAAAACTTTCCTTCGCAAGTTTTAACGGAACTGCATTCTCACTATTTAAAATCAAGATCTCTGATTAAATTGAAAGAGTCCTAACCAACTCATCCACTCGCTCTATGTTCTAATAATTGGTTATACAACAGTAGAAAGTCTTTCTATTTTCTTAAATCCCTTATCACCTAATTAAATTTTTAATTTAAAATTTTAAGTTTTTAATTAATTGAACTACTCCATTTAAGAAAAAAATAATTGGACAGATGCCTAACTAAAATTCGAACTTCAAATTTTTAATTTAAAATTTCAAGTCCTTAATCAATTGAATTAACCTATTTTAGAAAAGAAAATGATTGTAGAGGTAAATTCTGCTTGAGTTGGTTAATAAAGGTTGGCAGTGATTAACAATTACAATCTATGCAATCTTTTCTTAGCTCTCGAACAATCTTCCCGAGCAATTTTGGGATTCTAATTGATTCTATTTAGCTTGATCAGTTGAGGTTATAAATAATATACACTATTCCCTTAGAATGTTAAATTGATTTTGT